GACTTTTATTATTTTATAATGTTCTCAAGAGAGACAGAGACAGAACAGCCATTCTGTTCCACTGGGTTCACTGCTCACGGGCTGCCGGGAGGAGAAAGCCAAGTGCCCCCCAGGGTCTGCACGGTGGGGTGGGAGGCTGGAGCTGGAACTCGAACTGCATAGGGAGCCCAAGGGCTCGAAAGTGGGACGCAGGCACTGCAACTGCCAACTTACCTGCCTGCCCCTGCTCTCATTTTTTAAAAGACAACTTTTAGCTCCATGATTCTGTATATCCAAGGAATCCCAAAAAGGAATGTAGGAGGCATTACTGGCAAAATTCTGATAACGATCTAAAGGTACAGAGTGCAGAAGGACCTGGAGGCTGCCCACTCCATGTCATGACCCTTCGATAAGCACAACTTCCCGGTTCATCCAAGCCTGCAGAGAAGGGGCTGCCTTTGTTCGCTCATGCGGTGACAGGCTAGGGACAGTCGGGACGAGATATTTACAGAGCTTCAGTTGTGTGTTGGAATCTCTCTGGGACCCCTTATGGTTCTAGAAAGATGCTTTGTCCGAACGCCAAGGTTCTCTTCTGAAGCCCTTTGCTTAACCAGGAGTCCTCACTTGGCTTATCAAATGAGGCCAACAATGCCCTCTCACTCCATCCTTCTGGGGTGGCTGAATGGATCAGAGGAGAGAAGCACAGGGAAGCACCCCAAAAATTCATAGTAGGGGCTGTTTTTAAGAAAGGTTGAGCATAGCATCAAGTCAAGTATTGTGTAGAAATGGAGGTGACTGAGGGTACCCCCATGGTACTAGCTACTTTTTATTGGGCACCTACTGCTTGCCATTGGAAGATTCATTGTAATTCTAATTACAAATATCATGCAAGGTCAAACAATGTATTGATGTGGGGTGGGGGTGGGGACAGGGAAAGGACAGGTGAAATATCAAAATCCTTAGTACCCATGGAGCAATACTATTGATATTTGGGTACACGTCTGCTCAGTATTTTGATGTATTTCAGAAGATTTTCCTTCAGAGTTCCGGATAAGCAGAAAATCGGAAAAGTGTCAGAAAAGGGCTGTTAGCGGAGTCATCATGTTCAATAAGCAAGCTCCACCGCTACATGACACCTCAGTTGAGCTGTAGACAACCTTTAGGGACACAGCAAGTGGCCTTGGCATAGTGCTTGCTTAGCTCAGCAGTCCTACCTTCTATCGCTTCCCCAAGATGGCAGTTTTCTGGAACAGCGCCTGGGTGGCCCCAAGGCTGAAAAAACAGGGGGAGGCATGTGCCAGAGTGTGTGGTGGAAGATCATAAAAGTTATTTGGAAAAGTAAAACCAGCAGTTGTTGATGTGCAACTCCACTCTTAGAGTGGTTCACTAGTGTGGTTTATAGAAAAGAAAACCGGGGCTCTGAGGGGAGATTTAATCAGCCACGTTCGTAGGAGGCCAGAGATCAGGTAGGACTGAAGGCTAGGACGCTGTTCTGATCCAGCTCTGTAAGAATGACATCAGACACACGGTCAAATAAGGCTTTCATTTACCGGCTCTTGACTTTCAACAACGCCTTTTAACCTGAGCCTCTGCTTGTTCTTTTGTAAAACTTAACATCTTCCTCAATGTGCTTAAGTGAGAATTAAACAAAGGTTTAGTAAGGAAAAAATATTTTCTCAACAGTCGTTGATGGCGCCAGGGTCTAGCTACACCATGCACTTCACATATATGACCTCGTATAATACTCACAGTTACCCTGCTGGGGGTGATTATTTTTAGATCCATTTTACAGGTGAGAAAATTGAGGGTCGAAGAGCATAAATCACCCAACAGAACGTAGTTGTGTAAGTGGCTGGGCTGGGATTTGCAAGGAGGTCTGGCAGGCACAGAGCAACATTATTAGGTTACATAAGTAACTCTTAACAAATAACAGCCATCATTAGTTACTGCTGTTAGTGCTGATACAACCATTACGCTCCACGTGACTGGCTGCTCTATTTTTAATCTCCTCAATAGAGAAAACAAGAACAGGGCTGTTTAAGAAAGGGAGAAGTACAGGCTCACCTAGCTCTGGGCCATGCTGCTCCTGCCCATGGGTGGAAGAGGGCAGAAGCAAAGCTTGAGCGGCAGCATTTAAAACCCCTGGTTTCTCTGGACTGTTGGGACAAAGCCCTGGGACAGAAGCATCTCTTGACTGGGAGGTAGGAGAGCACTTTGATGAGCATGGAAGAAGTGTTGTATGCTTCCAGAAAGAGGGGAAGGGGCATGGTTTCAACAAAATTTGGCAGTTACCAAAGTAAACCTCTCTTTAATTCCATTTTTCATGTACTTTTAGAAGCCCCCTCATTATTGGAACCATGTGGTGTTCCTATGACTGCCTCATGGTGTTTCTGTCTCCCTACTGCAGTCCCTCTAACCCCTTCCAGGCCACCTTCTGGAGTTTTCCTGTGTGTGGAGACACAGAAACCTTCTGGTCCACGATTTGGGCCACCGCTAATCTCTCTGAAGATGGGTGCGGGCGATTAAGGAGGCAGCACCCAGAGATGGAGAGAGAGGACCCATTTTAAAAGCCCAGCGAGCACGGACACGCCGCCTGGAATCCCAGCCTCTCCGAGCTCAGCAGCATGAGTCACCCACACCCCTTCACCTGTGCATTGCAACATGAAGGACAGAAACTGCACAGCCTTCCACGCGGCGAGGAAGGCAGGTGCCTTCAGAGAAGTGTGCCCTCCTTCGGACTACAGCAAGCTGTGCAGGTGGCACCATACAGCCACCAAGAAGCTCTGAGTGATGGCTGGGCACCCAGGCCCTGCTCTTGAGTGAAATCCCAGGCCTGGCTCTCTACCTCCACCCATCTAGCTCTGTGGCTTGAGTAGTTCGTCACTTTGTGTTTGAGTTTTCTCATCTGTAAACTGAGGATAAGAAGTTGCCTACTTCTTAAGATTATTGTCAGGATGAAAAGACAGAATACAGGTAAAGGCTTCGCACGTTGCCTGACACAGACATCCAGCACCCAAAGGCTGCTAGATGCTATTCTAAGACCTGGAGATCCGACTGTGAACAATATGACATGGCCTGGTTCATATTCCACAGGGAAGGGAGATGGACAATAAGTCACTAATTAGGAAGATGTTCAGAACCATAAGACGTCTACAGAGAACACCAGTGGGATCGGATTCTGAGGGCAGGATCTGCTTCAGCTATGACTGTATAGCCCGGAGCGCCCGACTGTATCAGCAATCATTATTTACTATTTTTTCTGGAAGGAGATCTGTCAGGCTCAGAGCTGCCCCCAACACTGCATCCAGTGAGAAACCAATTTCCGACGGGCCTCAAACCCAGTGCCCCTTCTCTGCAGGCCTGCCCTCCTGCCCAGAGGGCTACTCTGAATTCTGGCTTTATCCTGGAAACTTTCATCACCTTGGCAGGAGGAGCTGAAACCTCACTCACTGTTCCCAGAGAAAGGAATGGGCCAACAAGTGCAATTCCCAGGGAGACAAAGCAGGGAGATAGATGGGGTGTGTGTGTGTGTGTGTGTGTGGAGGGGGGTGTGGAGGGAGGAGTAGGGGTGTGCACAAACGTGGTGGAGAATGGAGAGGAGAAAATGAAAACCAAGATCTTTGGCTTAGATTTAATTTCTTCTTAAAATTTTTTATTTTTGATGATTTTTACATAGTTGGCAAGGATGTAAAGGTTCAAAGGCTTAGATTTAATTTCAGATTAATCCTGGAGGGAGCTCATGAAAAAGCTTGCATTTTGCCATTTGCATCTGTGGATGGACACCTTGCTCTTTCGGCTCCTGGCAGCTATTCCACACGTACTTTGCCTAACGGGCATCTGCTTTCTCCTAAGTTCCCACTGCAGAACGAGGTGCTCCAAGCTTGGAGAAATGACCACTTGGCTGAGGCTTCAGGCAAGGTCCACTTTAACTTTTCCATCTCTTTTGCACTGGCCAGAGCTACATAGTTGGCCCACATCACATTGAGATCCGTATCACACTGAGTCAAAGGCTGCTCCCACCTTATGTCCCCACCTCCTGCTACCAATCCTCACACTCCCAGAGCAGCAACCCTGGGGCTTTTTGGACCACTTCCCTGGCACCCAGATTACAGCCTACCATGCAACAGGTACTCGGTGATGGGGCTGGCACTGTGGCGTAGCAGGTTAACTTGCTGCATCCATGTGAATGCCAGTTCGAGGTGTGGCTGTTCCACTTTAGTCCCAGATCCATGTTAATGAATCTGGGAAGGCAGCGGAAAATGGCCCAAGTACTCGGACTGCTGGCACGCATGTACTAGACCTGGATGGAGCTCCGGGCTCCTAGCTTCGGTGCAGCCATTGTTGGAACTATTTGGGGAAGTGAACCAACAGATAGAAGATCTGTTTGTGTCCCTCTCTCTATAATCTCCCTTTCGGTTAAGTGTGTGTGTGGAGGGGAAGGGTGAGTGTATTCAGTTCATATTAAATTGGGGCCACTGGCTTCAGCTCAAGGGGAAGACTGAAGTCTGCGTTCTGATTCTCAAGTAGCTTCTGCCTTTGAGCAAGTTGCATTCCTCCACTTACTCCTGCTCTGTGTACATTAGGGAGAAGGGGACGGTGGTGCATTACTGTGGGAATAAGAAGAAATCATTTGAATCACCATAACAGATTATTTTGTAAATAATCATCACCTCAGGAGGAAAGTTCTAGAAGCAAAGAAAGTGCAGAGACCCACCTGGGGAAGATGAACTCTCTTCTTGGAGAACTCCCCAAGTTGGCAAAGAAGAAGGGGCCAAGGAACCGGCATGTTTGAGATAGTCTAAGCCAAGTATCTTTCTGTCCCTGTATTTTTCCTCTAGTTATCTTGCGTCTTTCCAAACTTCTTTTTTTTTTTTTCTTCCTTTATCCCTCCTCCTTCATCTCCACCTCCCACCCCCTCACCAAGGAAGGAATTGGCTGGTTCCACCCAGCCGCCCCTTTATGGCTCCGCCCTTCCTTGGCGGGCCAAGAGTTAACAGCTGCACCTGCTGAGGTGTGCATGCAGTCGCGGCACCTGTCCTGGCAGCCAATCAGCGCCAGGACTTCTCTGGAACCTACTTGTCAGCAAAATCCCGACACCCAAACCTCAACATAAATCAAACACTTCCCAGCGCAGGGAATGTCCGTGGTAGGCGAGAATTAAGAGACAAACAGTGAACCTCTCAGGACCCAGCGATCACCGGAGCCTCGGAGCAGGAAGATGTCGAATGAACTTGAGTGAGTAAACACACGCAGCTCTCTGGCTCTCTGTGAGCTCAGGAGCCTGGATGGGATTTCCAGGAGGGGGAAGAGCAGGGAGCCCCGGCGCCAGGATTCACACAGCAATTTGTAAGAGTAAATGAATGGGCTGACGATCTGGCTGTGCGGCGTGTCGAGGCAAGCCCCGGTCTCAGGCTAGAGCTGAGTGTTTCCCTGGGAAAATAGTTTTTGTCTTTTTCTCTGCTGAGCAGTTTCGAGCCACCTAGGGAAGCACAGTAGTGAAACCGTGAAGGTTTTTGGCACCACTTTTTGAGACTCTGGAGGGGACTTGGAAATCAGAGACTATCCCAGCCCTGTGGAGGCTTTCTATCTTCTTGTCAAAAAGAACTTCTTTGAGGTGGGTCTAAGACTGTCTTAGAGAGCTGGCTGTTTCTACAGGGACTTGTTGGGTGGGCTGGAACTATCCCAAGGGGGCAGCTATGCACGTGCATTCACCCAGGCTCTGTCTCTTACCAGCTGTATAGTTTATTCAACTTATCTGAGCTTCATTCTCATCTGCAAAATGGGTACAGGAATGCTCTGTAGGCTTCTTGAATATGTTCAGTATGATATGGACTGCAAAAAAAAAGACTTAACACAGAGACAAGGGCTGGAAATGCATTCCATAAAATGTGTTGGATTTGATTCAGAGGCAGTTCTCAGGCTGAAGAGGCTGAGGGGCCTGCCTATCCACATGTGGCTGATTCTGACCATGGAAAAAGCCGCTGCAGGTTGGATTCAGGGAGCTGGTACAAGCCAGATCTCACAGACTTTTCTTCCTGTCACCGTCAGAGGTGTGAAGGCAAAGACCAAGGCTACGCGATCAATTTCCTATAGCTATGCATCAACAGATGAATCGAATATCTGTGGGCAGCACGATGGGTGGGTCCTGACTGCAGACAGGGTCCTGACAGTAGCTGGGTCTCGAGTTCCTCCGAGTTGGCCAGTTGTGGCCGCACTACCATCCCTGGAACTCCCAGACGTCAAATTTTTCTTGAATGAATCCTCCACACTTGACCGTGTATTGGCAACTGAGCCAAAATTAGAATAAAAGGGAAACCTTGGCACCAGTGCCTGGGTTCGAGTCCCAGCCGCACTTATTATTAGCTGTACACCATGAGACTGTTTCCTGGTCTGTAGCTTGTGAGCGGTCATGTCACCTGCCAGAGCTGCTAAGGGATTCAATGACTTTTGCAGAGTGGCTGTTTCTATAGCCTGGTAGGAAACAAGCCAACAGCTGTTACTTCAGACAGAAATGACCAGTCGGTCCACAGACACTCTGGGTCTTCTTGCTTTTTTTGCTTTTCTGTATGTTGGACACCATATAAGTCATCTTGCATCTTTCCACCTCACTCAGCTCTTGCAGTTGAGTGTCAGAGGCTGTAGATAGCATCCACTGCATGTCACTCTACATGGGACATGTGTCCTGAGGCGGTGTTACCTGCTCACCGGGGATTTCTGCTGTTTCTTAGTGAGATCGGAGTTTAAAGTCTAGTGTCCTTACATTGGATGCTTCTTCACTGTCGAAAGCGATGCCTTTTGGGATGGGGTAAGAAAATCTCGATCGCAGACAAATGCTGAAGCTGCCACTGCAGCTGACAGAGGCACAGCCTGGGGGTGCTGACAATGACAGGGTGACAGACATTAAGTGCTGGCCTTGCAAATTTTGGGTGGCTGCTGTGGCCATGGCTTTCCCCTAAAAAAGCCCCAAGCCGGCCCATATCCTGAGTCCTTAGAGAAAATGCCTTGATGACAGACTCCAATGTGACTCAATTTCTGCCACCTACCTTGGCAGCTCCTCCTTGGCAAACACGGCTGGTAAAGGGGACCCTCTGGGGTCCCGGTTCCTTGGACACCCCCTCATTTCTTCCTCCCAGGGAAGCTGGGGTACGGGCTCCACGGACGCCAGCCCGAGTGCGAGGCCTCTGGAGGCGGCACTTTGAAGGCAGGCGTGGAGGAACATGGAGGCCAGGCTGGGTAGTGAGAAACCAGCTGGAGGCAGCTGGTGGGTGGCCAGCGCCCAGGCCTTTCATGTGGTCTGGCCCAACGCGGGTGTCTCCAGCCAGAGCCCACAGCCGCAGGCCAGGCCAGCCGCAAAGGCTCCTGGGGTGGCGCCTCATAGATCTCGCGGGAAAAACACTCTGAGGCACTGCCCACCACCTGGCACTGCCCACCTGCTGCCCCCAAGAGCTGCGGGTAGGTGCCACTAGAGCAGGAACTGCTTGGTGATCTTCTGGCCTCTTCAGAGAGCCCCAGGGCCTGTTGTATGCCCCTGCATTGCCTCCTTCAGTAAGGCACCTTACACAGCCCAGGAAGTTTGCCCCACAGTAGGTTCATCCCCTGGGGGAATCTCCATCATAGGACCCTTCCAAGGGAGTCCCCACCCTCTGCTGTCTGGAATCTTATCCTCCCCACCCCCAACTTCCCAAGCTCTGGAGAGGTGGGGTTAGGGGTGGGCAGTGGCTGGGGAGGGGTGGGGATTGGACCCTCGGGGTGTGTGGGGGGGGGACCTAGGCGGGCCTGGCTATCTGATCTGATCTGGGGAGCCTGGGCTCCAGACTGCCTGGAGCGCTGAAGGAGTTAACCAGGAACGCCTCCCCGCTGTGGTTTTGTGGTCGAAACCATGATTGCCAGGAGCAAATTTTTGTCGTGCACAAGGTGTGTTATTAAAAGTCAGAGTTACGCTGCTGGTGAATGAAAAGTTAAAAGCCCTCATTAAGCTTGGGCTGTAAAACAGCCGTCGGGTTGAGAGGATGAGAGAGCCCTAACGGCAGTGCCCGGCTCCAGCCTCCCTGCAGGTGCCCGGCCTCCCTGCAGGTGCCCAGCCCCAGGCAGGCACTGAGCCTCAGCCAGGTGGGTCATCAGGGGGAAAGCCACAGGGAGCCAGGGCACAGGGCTGAAACAGAAATATCACAGTGCATGGTAAAGACTTTTCTCCTTTACTCAGATCAGCACCCCAGTGAGGGGTGGAAGCATAAATGCCTTACTCTGAGGAACTGAGGCCTGGCTCAGGGGTACGGAAGACCTCCCAGAGAAGCTGGGAGTCTCACTGGGTCATAACCCTCCGGGGCCAAAACAATGAGCCACTTCCCACGTGCTTGGACCTAGAAAGAAGGAGAGATGGCCAGCTCTTACTGATGGTCACCTTGGAGAGCAAAGGATGTAGCTTAAACCTTCTCTTTCCTAATGGCTGGAGGTTTCACATGTGTGCATTTGTTGTAGTTTAGCAACCTATGTTACATCCCAAATAGGAAGAGGAGCCTATTTTTAAAAAGTACCGGTTGGCTTAGATTCAGGTTCTCAACAAGTGCGTTCCCCGGACCAGCAGTCTCACCATCATCATCATCACCACCACCTGGGAGCTTGTGAAAAAATGTGAATTCTCAGCCCCACCCTGGACCTGTATCAGAAACTCGGGGGGTGGGGCGCAGCAGTATGTGTTTTAACAAGCCCTGCAGGTGACTCTGATGCGTACTCAAGTTCAAGAACCATTGGCCCAGAAGACCAGGTAGAGGACTCCCAGCCCCGCTGCGGTGCTGCCTGTGGCTGCTGAGTAAGCGGCCGAGAGCTCCGCCCCGGGCTCCCACCTGTGTTTAAAGCCCAGCTCTGCCACCTGCCAACACGGTGACTTCATGATGAGCTGCTCAGCCTCTCTGGGTCAGTTTCTGCTAGTGTGAAAGAGTGACAAAAGCACGCAGCTCACGGGACAGGCGTGGGAGCACAAGGCATAGAGCTGGCTGTAGGAGGGGATCTCTCTGCTTTCGCTTCCCTCGTCTTCCCTCTCATCCCCTCTGCCGCCGCACCGCTTTCTGTCTGTGCCACCTCCCTCCCTGGTTGCCTTATCTCCTGAAGAGGTCAGGGCACCTGAAACAAGTCTTCTCCCTGATGTCTGGTGTTCCTTCCCGGGGTCTTCCCAGGAGGCCAGGGGCCCCAGGGCACTCATCCTGCCGTCCCTATCAACAGAACCATCAGGACAGGTTGGTTGAGCGAATCAGTGAAGAAGTGGAGAGACGAAGCCCCTCTCTGTCTACATGTGAACTTCATATTCTTTCTCAGCTCAGCTGAAAGGGCAGGGGGAGGGCGGGAACCAAGAACACTGGACAGAAAACTTAGAGAAGGAAAACACAGCATAAAAAAAACTTTCTTATCCACAGAAGGGACTTTCTGAGGAGAGATGGTGAGTTTCTGTTGTAATTAGAAAATGGCACTTAATTAATTAACACACAGGTGAAATGATTTGCTAGCGCCTGGCTCCCCTCCTTTCCCCTCACCTCCCCATCAGGATCCAGAGGATGAAGCCCAGTGCTTGTCCTGCTTACCTGGGAATCTCCGGGCAGCTTAGCTTGTAGGACAGGAAGACATGTCCCGTTTTACAGGTGGGAGAAAGTGAGGCTGTGAATGGGACAGTGTGCTGAGGCTTAGCCCTCAACGTTGAGTTTTAATCATCATAAATACAGTCCATGTCATGCTGAGCGGGCACTCTGCCAGTCACTTTGCCTCCTGCATCTTCTCTGCATCTTCCGACAATAAACCTACCAAAATTGTTGTAAAGATTAAATAAGACAATGACTGGAAGTTGTTTAGCCTAGGACCTGGCACATTGTAATCCCTCAGTGAACAATAGCTATCATAATAATCCTGTGAGGTTAGGGCTTTCATCTTCCCACAGTTGTTAATAATAATAATAATAATAATAATAATAATAATAATAATAAACCCAAGGCATGGAGATTCCAGATTGTTGTCCTAAAGTCAAACAGCAAGTAACAGAGCTGGAACTGGAGCCAGGGGTCTGTGTAACTCTGGGGCCCACCCTATATCCATGAGTCCCTCTGGCCTCATTCAGATCCAAGTCACAACAGAACATTGCTTTGTTTGCACCATGTCCCTGTGAAGGTCCCCCAATCCCCCATGAGCCCCTAGCCCTCAGGACAAGGCACATTTCATAAGCCATACATCCAGAAAACCCCGATGGACCC